CCCTACGCTGTGTCACTGCATCATTCCATGTTTGGCACTGATCACCACCTGCACTCATGTATATATCTTTCTGCGTAGCACTCTTAATTCTTATTCTCATGTATATAACTCATGTATATCTCATGCACATATCTTTCTACGTAGCACTTTTCATTCTTATTCCTACTTTTATTTTTTCATGTCTATTTAATTGCTATTTATGACACTATGTTTGCACTGAAGCACCGCAGCAATTTCCTAATGTTGTAAACCTGCTCAACATTTGGCAATAAACCCCTTTCTGATTCTGATTCTGATATTCATTTAGAGCCTTTTTCTCTAATTGTTCTTTCCGAGTTAACTTCAGTAATTACTTCTTCAAAACCATCAACGTGTCTTTTTAGACCCCAAGCCTGCTCAAAGAAGTCCTGCCATTAATTAATGCTTCAATATTAAATATGATCAAGCTATCCCTAATAATCGGCTATGTACCACAGGCCTTCAAGCTGGCAGTAGTTAAACCTTTACTTAAAACGCCATGTCTAGACCCAGCTGTCTTAGCTAATTATAGGCCAATCTCCAACCTTCCTTTCATATAAAAAATTCTTGAAAGAGTAGTTGTCAGACAGCTACTTGATCATCTGCAGAGGAATGGCTTATTTGAAGAGTTTCAGTCAGGTTTCAGAGCTCATCACAGCACAGAAACCGCTTTAGTGAAGGTTACAAATGATCTTCTTATGGCCTCTGACAGTGGACTCATCTCTGTGCTTGTCCTGCTAGACCTCAGTGCAGCATTCGATACTGTCGACCATGCTGTAGGTATTACAGGTACTGCGCTGGTTTGCAGTGGTTTGTATTATATCTATCTAATAGACTTCAATTTGTTCGTGTAAATGGTCAATTATGGAGTCCCACAGGGTTCAGTGCTAGGCTGTATCATCAGAAAGCATAGCATACATTTTCACTGCTATGCAGATGACACCCAACTTTATCTATCTATGAAGCCAGATAACACACACCAATTAGTTAAACTACAGGAATGTTAAGACCTTGATGGCCTCTAACTTTCTACTTCTAAATTCAGATAAAACTGAGGTTATTATATATGGCCCTGAAAATTTTAGAATTATGGTATCTAACCAGATTCTTACTCTGTATTCATTACCTTGTCATTGGAGTAATCTTTGACCAGGACATGTCCTTCAATGCACATATTAAACAAATATGTAAGACTGCTTTCTTCCATTTGCGAAATATCTCTAAAATTAGAAATATCCTGTCTCAGAGTGACGCTGAAAAACTAGTTCATGCATTTATTATTTCCAGGCTGGACTACTGTAATTCATTATTATCAGGATGTCCTAAAAACCCTGAAAAGCCTTCAGTTAATCCAAAATGCTGCAGCAAGAGTACTGACAGGGACTAGAAAGAGAGAGCATATTTCTCCTGTATTGGCTTCCCTTCATTGGCTCCCTGTTAAATCCAGAATTGGATTCAAAATCATGCTCCTTGCATAAAAGGTCTTGAATAACCAGGCCCCATCTTATCTTAATGATCTTATAGTACCATATCACCCCATTGGAGCACTTTGCTCTCACACTGCAGGGTTATTTGTTGTTCCTAGAGTATTTAAAAGTAGACCGGGAGGCATAGCCTCCAGTTTTCAGGCCCCTCTTCTGTGGAACCAGCTTCCAGATTAGATTCAAGAGACATAGACTATCTCTACTTTTAAGATTAGGCTTAAAACTTTCCTCTTTGCTAAAGCATATAGTTAGGGCTGGATCAGGTGACCCTGAATCCTCCCTTAGTTATGCTGCAATAGGTCTAGGCTGCAGGGGGATTCCCATGATGCATTGAGTATTTCTTCTTCAGTCTTCTTCAGTTCACACTCTGCAATTAATTATTAGTCATTATTAATCTCTGGCTCTCTTTCACAGCATGTCTTTTATCCTGCCGTCCTTCTCTCACCCCAACCGGTCACGGCAGATAGCTGCCCCTCCCTCAGCCTGGTTCTGCCAGAGGTTTCTTCCTGCTAAAAGGAAGTTTTTCCTTCCCACTGTCGCCAAAGTGCTTGCTCATAGGGGGTCATAAGATTGTTGGGTTTGTCTCTGTATGTATTTTTGTAGGGTCTAGCTTACAATATAAAGCACCTTGAGGCAACTGTTGTGATTTGGTGCTGTATAAATAAAACTGAATTGAATTGAACAAGTATCTATACTTCTACTTAAGTACAGAATGTACTTTTGCCAACTCTGGTTTTAAGCGATGGCTTAAAGTGGCTTCAGAGACTTAAAGTCGTAAAACGAGTCAGCATTGTGCACTTCCTGCAACCTCGTCCAAGTCGACAGGTTCTGTGAATTACATTCCAAATCATTCCAAAATGAGACTCTGAGTTAAAATGAGATTAAATCACGATGTTTCCAAGAGAAAAGCTTTTGTTTTGGCAAGACGTGTAGAAAACTTGAAGCCAACTTCTCGTTGGCCTTTGGACTTCCTGTCATTATAATAATAAAATAAAAAAATAAAAAATAAATAATAATACATTTTATTTGAGGGCGCCTTTCTAAAACCCAAGGTCAAAGACAAAAAGTTACCAATAAAGCAGTAGATTCAAATAGATTCTAATAAATTAAATTACAAAAAACAACAAATAAAAACAAACAAAAAAAACCCCCAATATTTGACACCAAGTAAAATCTGTATTAAATCGAGTAAGCCAGTTTAAACAAGTAGGTTTTGAGTTGTGACTTAAATAAGGGAAGGGAATCTATATTTCTTAAGGCTGAAGGAAGTGAGTTCCAGAGCCGAGGAGCAGAGTGACTGAAAGCTCTGTGCCCCATAGTGATAAGGCGAGCAGAAGGAACAACAAGATGAGTGGCAGATGAAGATGTCAGAGAGCGGGAAACAGTGGTGATATGAAGCAGATGACAGAAATAAGGAGGGGCAAGGTTATAAATACACTTAAACGTGAGAACTAAGATTTTGAAATTTATCCTGGGCAACCAGTGAAGCTGTTAAAGAATTGGGGTAATATGGGAGTATGAGTTATGACCTGGAGCTGGAGTATTCTGAAAAAGTTGAAGTTTATGGAGGGACTTGTTGGGGAGACCAAATAAAAGGGAGTTGGAATAATCGACCTGGGAAGTAATAAGACTATGGACAAAGATGGCATCCGCATGGGGAGTAAGGGACGAAGTCGATTAATGTTACGTAAGTGAAAGTATGCAGACCAGGTTATGTAATTAATGTGAGACTGAAATGAGAGAGTACTGTCGAGTATGAAACCCAAACTTTTTACCTGTGGGGAAGGAAGGATGGGGGAATTTTCAATATTAATGGAGAAACTGTGAGATTTGGTTAAGATAGATGCTTTTGGTTAAGATAGTTAAGATAGATGCAGTAATAAAACTTCTCAAACTTAACAGTAATAAAACTTCTGTTTTATTACTGTTAAGTTTGAGATAATTGAAGGAGAACCATCCTCTGATCTCCATAAGACAGTTCGAGAGCGAGGTAGGTGGAAGGGATGAATTAGGTGTGACTAATGCCAATGGATGCTAATTATGCTCAGGAGGATATTATGAGAAATGGTGTCAAATGCCGCACTAAGATCGAGAAGGATGAGGATGGTTAAAAGACCAGAGTCAGCTGCCATCAGAAGGTCATTAGTAATCCTTAACAAAGCCGTTTCTGTATCATGATTTGGGCGAAAACCAGACTGAAATTTTTCATAGAGATTATGGTCATTGAGGTATGAGTGAAGCTGGAAGGCAACAACTTTCTCAAGGATTTTCAAAATAAAGGTGAGGTTTGATACAGGGCAGAGATTATCAAAATTATTGGGATCTGCACCAGGCTTTTTGAGAATTGGAGTGAAAGAAGCAGTTTTCAAGGATGGAAGAATAACCCCTTACTCACCTGCAGGCACAATGACAATAAGACATTCCTGGTTTGGGTGAACGAGGAGGATCATCTGCGTGTCATCAGCATGCAGAAAGGAGGAAACATGAGGGAGGTGTTCACCCGCTTCTGCACTGGCCTCACCAAGGTCAGCACGCCACTTCCTATTTCCCTCACCCCATAGTGTCACACCTGAAGCCGTCTAACCTGTCTCACCTCTCTCTCTGGCAGATCGAGGAACTGTTTAAGGAGCGAGGTCATGAATTCATGTGGAACGAGCACCTGGGCTACATCCTCACCTGCCCGTCCAACCTGGGCACCGGCCTGCGAGCTGGCGTCCACGTCAAGCTGCCAAACGTGAGCAAGCACGAGAAGTTCGGCGAGATCTTGAAGAGGCTGCGGCTGCAGAAGCGAGGAACAGGTAGGAGCACGCACAGCAGACGGGAAGGAACACCTGTCCCTCGCTGTCTCATTCATCACTTCCTGTCTGTGTCTAAGGTGGTGTGGACACTGCAGCAGTGGGTGGAGTCTTTGACATCTCCAACGCGGACCGCCTGGGTTTCTCAGAGGTGGAGCTGGTGCAAATGGTGGTGGATGGCGTTAACCTGCTGGTGGAGATGGAGAAGCGGCTGGAGGCCGGAGAGAGCATCGATGACATGATGCCTGAACAGAAGTGACCTGTTTCACTGTAACCTCTAGCCCCACCCCCTCATCCTCACCTATCACCCCTTCCCCTCACTATAACCAACCAGAAACCGTCCTGATGCTGTGGGACGTTTAGAGCCGTTCAGTTAGACCTCAGTCTTCCAACATGTGAAGGGTTTTCTACTTCCTGTCTCACCTGTTGGACTCACCTAACACCTGAAATCTCTAATAAAGTCTGTGTGGCCCAAACTATCACAGCTGCTGCTCACCTGTCTTCATTCACACACACACCTTCTCACAGTCCACACCTACGTGACGGTCACCAACCAATCACATTCATTAGCCTCAATGGCATCTCATTCTGATGCCATTGAGGTTTGAGGTCACACACTGATGATGGTAGTGGTTTTATTTCAGGTTCAGGAAAAAACAACAAAAAGAAACCATAAAAATATATCAGAGACAGACAACTGAATAATTAGAGCTCTGAGCACGCTCACAAGGAAAACAGATGACAAAAATATACAAAACCAAGAAACAAACAATGAAAATTAGGCCTTCATTTTAAATTTACCAAACGCAGACAGCAGTACGGCTTTACAATAACTTCATTAAAGAACAGTCGCAGCTCATCTTAGCTCAGGTGCAGGGTTTCAGAAAGGTATGGATCCAACTCACGGAGGCCATCAATCAGGGATGAGCTGGCTTCTTCTCCTTTGTTTCGCACCACATCTATCACATCTCGAGCTCGGTCAGCTCTGGGTTTGATTCTGGCTGAATCCATTTCTTCCTTATTTATAATTCCCTGTTGGAGCAGGCTGTCCAGCAGCTGGTTCACAGTCGAATCTGACACTTGATCCACAAACTGCTTCCGAACTGCAAACAGATGCTTGTCTGGTGGGAGGATCTGGGGCGTTGACTGACTGCGTGTTCTTTCTGGGGGCAGGAAGCAGGAAAACGATGTTCAGTAACTTGAAGTGAAGGTGTGACAGAGCTTGTGAATATGTGATACTGCTTTGTGCACAGAGTAACCTGCAGATACACACCTGCTAAACATCTGGTGCTGTTAAGTGGTGACATACTGACACTGTTGTGCGGCTTGTGTCTCGTGTATTAAAAACACATTTGATGTTTGGGGTTTTGTGTGTATGTGCAGCACACTATTAGATTAGTCTTCTAAAAACCTCCAGAGGACAATATAATGGAGTTTGCCCTGACAGCGTTCATTTTTGGTAGTAAAATGATTCAGGTGAACAGGAACACATCGATAACTAACAGATGTTTTCTGCGCTTTAGGTTTTCTTGTTTTCGGTGCCTTCTGACAGTCAGTTGTTGATCAGGCACTCGGGTGGACATCTCACTGACTGACACTGTTTATGTACTTTGCCTCACCTATTTCTCTTGTTTCCTCTATCTGTGTGTGTGTGTGTGTGTGTGTGTGTGTGCGTGGTCTGTTTGTTTCAGGGGCAGAGCTCACCCGACTTCCTGCTCTTTTGCTTCACACCTGTGAGATATTGCTGATTACTCATCTTATTGCTGATGGCCTCATTATCGGTGTCCTATTTAGAATGGAGGCTGTACTTTACTGCGCTTGTGTCCAGGATTCCCACCAGTGCATGAAGTTTAGCTTTTCACTTTAAACCTGCTGCCAGTCCTGTTCTGTTTTACTAGCTTGAGTGTACAATTTTAGACAATAATCTCAGAGTTACATTTGCAAACTTCACCCTCCCTCCAAAACCTAACTGATATTTAATTTACATCTACAGTTAAAGCAGTGCTCTTCATTGTATTTTTGCAAAACCATCGCAGTCAGAACTTGGCATGTCATCTGCAGGTAGCATTCTCCTGAATCCCTATTTGGTGAGCCTAGACACTCTGGTTTAACAGCCATACTGATCAATTTCTGGAATTTGGACTGTTCTGGACCCTCAGCTGTGCCTTACTCTTGGCATTTAGAATCTAAAGGAGCCTTTGGGCCTGGACGGTGCAAATGATGCCAGAATGAGAGTTGATAAAAGAACATCACAGCATGTTTTAAATGGGAGTAAATCATGAATGAAGGAAATAAGGCATACTAAAAAGGCGCACTCATTTATCACTCATAATTTCCAATTGAATGTCAGGCGGAGTGATGTAGATATAGGTTTTACCTGGTAGATCAATAGTGCATTTCCAGACATCTGTGTTTGTTTGGCCTTGGATTGTTATTGTGACTTCTTCAGTGTCTGCAGGAAGGCGGATCTGAAATGTTGGAGGGTAGTTTGTTCCAAAATCCAGGTCAAAATCTTCTTCCTACAAAGCAGGACCACAGCATGAGTTTCATAACCACAAGGAGTAGTTTAATTAACAGAAGTACTTACTGGAGGCTGGACTTTATAGGCAACTGGACAGAGAACAGTGTATCTGTGATCTTTGATGAGTTTACATTTGGAAGGCGCTTGGATGAAGTTAGCATCTCTGTATTTCACCCTGACCTTTAAAAGACCATTTTAATTAGAAGGCTTATCCAAAATGGATCAGTGTTACCTATTCATCATCAGTACAAAACCGTTTACTACATATCTCAGCAGCTCTGTCAAACTTTAGGACTGAGTGAGAAGCTTTTCATAGATCTTTACCTCTTCCACTGGGATGTTGCTTGTCAGGAGAAGCACATTGAGGTTTTGTCTCTGTGTTCTAAAGTTTATTGGTTCAAGGAACAGCAAAACCTGACCGGAAACCGGTTTCTCCTTGTTCCAAAACCTCTTTATGTTCCAGACGAGGCCAAAGGAAGAGAGGTGAGTAACTTCCACGATCACGTGAGTGTCTGTGATCTTTCGAGGCTTGAGGACCTTCATTTTACCAGCAGAGATGTGGACTACAGACAGACAGTTGGAAAGCAGAGCTGTGAAAACACAAAGCCATCAGACATCTGTTTGACTCCCAAAACCTCCTTACAGTGACAGTGAATCTGATTTTAGATATAAAGCCTTGATATGGTGTCCAGGGTCAGATAAAGAATCGAACACTGCTTAGAAATCAGTCGTTGGGTTTCCTTGGCTTCTGCACATTGTTTATTACAGAGGTCTTAAAAAGACCACTCAAAGGTTCCCAATCAGGTTTGTATCAAGCGTGGATTCATCAACAGCACCGACTGCTCAGGAAATAAGTGAGCAGCCGAAACCTCTTATTAAAAATGAATAAATCTTCTTCAGTTATTCTGAAAAATTAAGTTTGTTTCTTGCAATGGCACAGATGTTTCTCCTTACATCCCTCCCATCCTAAGGTCTGTGCTACCACCTAATTGTTACTGTAATTGTACAGTGTGGTTCATAAGACGTTTTAACCGTCCACAATGGGAAAGTTGGAGGATAATTTATGGCTGCTCTTAGTAGAGGTCCTCCTTCTCTACATTCTGCTTAACAGTGGTGGCTGAGTGGATGTGAAATAAAAATATTAGTGAGATCTGCAGGATGTCTGGATTAAAATGTTTGTCAGGCAAACATCAGCAATGGTCAGTCAGCAGAAAAATACCAAATTCTATAGCCAGTAGGGGACGCCATCAGAACTATGGATTAACAGTTGTGTCATGTCATGAGCAGTGCTTTGCTCACCTTCCTGTGGTTCACAGTGTGGGAGGTGAAGCTGACGGATTGCATCCTTTGAACTCTTAATATTGAAAAGCGGGCTTGCAGCCTTTTTATTGGCTGGCTGGAGGAGGTCCTCATCCCATTGGACAATCCTGTACAGCAGCTCTGCTTCCTGACTTATATTAAACATGACTCCAGTCAGAGTACACAGGAACACACCTGGACTAGGACACCTGAAACTATGTGACACAGAGGATCTGAATGACCACTGCAAACCTGTTAAACCCAAATATCTGAAAATGGATCTGTAAATTAGAGCTGTTACCTCGCGTCATATCACATGCGTACATTCTATAACTGGTTGGCTTTATATTAAACATACAACAACTGCTACAAACAGAGATTACTTTATTGTGATACTAGTCACGTGGTTGTTAGTCTAATGAAAAGAAGACGTTACCAGAGAGGCTGTAAACAGGGGAGATGTGGATTTCTTTTCATTACCTGTAACAGATTCGTGCAGACTCTGTTTGAACTGCAGGCATGAAGCTTGTTGGAGACTAGAATTCAGAAAGCAACATCATCAGCTGGCTAGACCAATAACCTGACTGAGTGTTCAGTGAAGAAACAAATTTAGCTGATGTACACGCTGTGAATTATAGGAAAACTGCATGAAAATCATAATAGAAAAAACCCAAATAAACCAGTCAGAGAGAGGAAGAACCTCAAACCTACTATCTCATTTATTATTAAAGGAAGGACTGCACTGAGCAGCTAAGCAACTCACACAAAACCACAGAAGACAGCTAAAGGTCATGATGACTGCTTTATTACCACAGTTAGAAAAACAATTTCATAACATCTAACCAAGTCAGGAACTCTGCAGGTGGGCCATTTATATGGATACACCGTAATAAAATGGGAATGGTTGTCTGTGCTGTTTGTGGCACATTAGTATATGTGAGGGGGCAAACTCCTCAAGATGGGTGGTGACCATGGTGGCCATTTAGAAGTCGGTCATCTTGGATACAACTTTTGTTTTTTTAATAGGAAGAGGGCCATGTGACACATCAAACTTATTGGTAATGTCACAAGAAAAACAATGGTGTGCTTGGTTTCAACGTAACTTTATTCTTTCATGAGTTATTTACAAGTTTCTGATGTGTGTTCAGTGTGCTGCCCATTGTGTTGGACTGTCAATGCAACCCTCTTCTCCCACTCTTCACACACTGATAGCAACACCGCAGGAGAAATGCCAGCACAGATATCCAGTATCTGTAGTTTCAGGTGCTGCACATCTCGTATCTTCACACCATAGACAATTGCCTTCAGATGACCCCAAAGATAAAAGTCTAAGGGGATCAGATCGGGAGACCTTGGGGGCCATTCAACTGGCTCACGACGACCAATCCACGTTCCAGAAAACTGTTCATCTAGGAATGTTCGGACCTGGCACCCATAATATGGTGGTGCAGCATCTTGCTAGAAAAACTCAGGGAACGTGCCAGCTTCAGTGCATAAAGAGGGAAACACGTCATCATGTAGCAATTTCAAATATCCAGTGGCCTTGAGGTTTCCATTGATGAAGAATGGACCCACTATCGTTGTACCCCATATACCACACCAAACCATCACTTTTGTTGTTCCAACAGTCTTGGAGGGATCCATCCAATGTGGGTTAGTGTCAGACCAATAGCGGTGGTTTTGTTTGTTAACTTCACCATTCACATAAAAGTTTGCCTCATCACTGAACAAAATCTTCTGCATGAACTGAGGGTCCTGTTCCAATTTTTGTTTTGCCCATTCTGCAAATTCTGTGCACCGATCTGGGTCATCCTTACTGAGATACTGCAGTAGCTGGAGTTTGTAAGGGTGCCATTTGTGAGTAGCTAATATCTGCCGAAGGGATGTTCGACTAATGCCACTCTCCAGTGACATGCGGCGAGTGCTACGCTGTGGGCTCTTGCTGAATGAAGCTAGGACAGCCACTGATGTTTCTTCATTAGTGACAGTTTTCTTGCAAATCCAACACTGAACCAGTTTCACGAAACTTAGCAAGCAGCTTGCTAACTGTAGCATGGGAGATGGGTGGTCTCGTAGGTTGTCTTGCATTGAAATCTGCTGCAATGACCTGGTTACTGCGTTCACCAGATATCAACACAATTTCGGTCCGCTCCTCACGTGTTAACCTCTTTGACATGTCAATGGCTGTGAACAAAGAGAAACTTGTAAATAACTCATGAAAGAATAAAGTTACGTTGAAACCAAGCACACCATTGTTTTTCTTGTGACATTACCAATAAGTTTGATGTGTCACATGGCCCTCTTCCTATTGAAAAAACAAAAGTTGTATCCAAGATGGCCGACTTCTAAATGGCCACCATGGTCACCACCCATCTTGAGGAGTTTGCCCCCTCACATATACTAATGTGCCACAAACAGGACTTTAATATCACCAACCATTCCCATTTTATTACGGTGTATCCATATAAATGGCCCAACCTGTATATCAGGAACGTCAGGACCTGGTCATTGTTCTCTCACCTCCATCACGTCCTCCTGATCTCTTTCTGCTGTGGTATGCTCCAGTTCGAATCCAGAGTCCACTAAGGTTAGAAGACAAAAAGCTGACATCACAAAGGTTTTTATGCATCATTTCCTTCTACTTGAAAATACATTTCATTCATTAAGATCAAAGCTGAACCGTGACCATCCAAGTAAATCATCGTAAAACATGAAATACACACATTTAGATTATCAAATTATCAGATTAACCTCGACTGTTCTGAACGTGACTGTCTTCTCATGGTTTTAGATCTTAAACATGTGAGTAGAATGTCTTTTCCAGAGCTTTAAACTAAATCTCTTATAAATATTTCTGCGGTGAGTTTAGGACACAAACATTTATAATCATTTAATACGTTCTTGATAACTGAGTTTCAGTACTCACAGGTGTCTGTGGATCTCATCGTTTTCTTCTGCAAACTGCAGACACAAGCACAACACCCACAGTTAAAGAGTTAAATGGTAAATGGCCTGCATTTGTATAGCACTTTACTAGTCCCTAAGGACCACAAAGCGCTTTACACTACATTCAGTCATTCACCCATTCACACACCGGCAATGGCAAGCTACACTGTAGCCACAGCTGCCCTGGGGCGCACTGACAGAGGCAAGGCTGGCTGACACTGGCGCCACCGGGCCCTCTGACCACCACCAGTAGGCAAACACGGGGTTAGAATCTTGCCCAAGGATATTTGGCATGCAGCCAGGGGGCAGCCTGGGATTGAACCACCAACCTTCTGATTAGTGGCTGACCTGTTCTGCCACCTGAGCTACAGCCAGGTTAAGAGAACGATTAAGTTTGAACTAACTTTATTAATGCTACCCATGAGAATAACTATTGTCTCTTATCTCTGCCCTGGATTGCAGCGCCACAGTAACCAAACTGGAACTAAACTGCAAAGGGGTCAGTTTTACCCCCTTCACATTTTAAACTGTGCATGACTCACATAAAATGAATCTTCTTCTTTCAGTTGCTCTCTTATTCGACAGTGGACAATCCACATGTCTAATTTGCAACAGATATTTTTGTTGGATGAACTTTCTAACTCCTCCCATCCAGGGACTTGTCTCTGGCTGTATCCCAATTCAGGGTCTGCAGACTTAAATTACGCATTTCAAGGCCGATTACGTCACAGCGGCACGCCGAAGGCTGTCCCAATTCAAAGGCTGCTCGAAATGCGGCCCTGAAATGCGTCCTTCATTTCCCTGAATTTTAAGGCTGTGGCAGTGTAGACTTCGTGGCCCAACATATCCCAGAATGCATAGTG